GGTCTGCACAGCGTCCTGGTGAGCGTGAGGGTTCACAAAGAGCTGTAAAAGTGATGAAAGAGGTGAAAAAAGCCCCTGGCCGAGCACACCTCACAGCCACAGAGGACGCAGCTCCCTTCCCATCCAAAATCCACACTGGTAATGTTATATTACTGTGCCACCCACAGGCAGCTGCCACGCTGCGGAAAAATATTTGCTGTTTACTTGGGGAGCCCGTTATGAAATGCTGTATCTGCCACGGAAAGCTGCTGTTTTCATCTGCGGTGTCGCCTGCTCTATTCAGATTCCTCAAAACCAGTCGTTCGAGTATCCCATTTAAATTGCATTTAGGGTTGTTATACCTCCGAATTTTCCCTCTCTTCCCGTTATGCGTGTCGTTTCTTCTACAAAATCTTTTTCTTTTGCCCAGCAGCCGCCGTGTTTGGCTTTTCACAGGTGGAGCTGTGCTGCAGGTGGCAGAGCTGGGACCCTCGTGAAGCCGGGGAAGCTGCAGGACCTCTAATTATCGGTGCCGCGATCCGTGCTCGTTGACGCGTTGCCAGCTCGGGCTGCGAGAACGACTTGGTTTAATCTGTGTCACTTCACTGAGTGGGAATATTCTGATTTACCTCCGGGATGCAGAGGAGTTGACCTCCCCTGCGCCCTGTCTGCGATTTGCATGGAACAAACTGGGTCAGCGGAGGCTGCTCGGAGGATTTGGGAAGCAGCGTTTTGTAGCAAACGATGTTGGAACGGTGATAATTGAAGGACATGAGCAAAGCAGGAGGTTTTGGAGGTGGAGATCATTTGTTACTAGATGAAGTCAGAAAAATAGAGGAGCGTTTTGGCTTCTGACCTGCAGAAGGGCTCGTGCGTCTCCTCCTGCCTGTCCTGCTTGCTCCAACGAGAGGCTGGAGCTCCCCTCACACCTTGGCTTTAATTTTTAGCAGTGCACTTGGTGTGCTTCCTCTGTGCTTTTTTTTGCTGGCATGCAGAAACTGTGTGCCAGGAGAATTTCCCTTGTGATATTTAAACTCTTCTGCACCCGTGCTATAAGCTGCCCCTTGGGAGCACCGCGCTGTGCTGTTGAGTTATTTTGCTTTGTGGAAAAGAATTTTAATATTGTTTACCATGCTCTTAATCTTAGGGCTGGCGGATAAATTGAGTTACTTTAGCCCTTCCCCTGAGGACTTCACGGGGCTTCATGGGCAGCATACCCCTAGTATTAGGTGGAGTTATCTCAGCTTTGCAAAAATCCTCTCTTCTGTCTTCCCAGAATGAGTAATTGATGGATGAGAGAATAAAATGTTGTTGTTTTTTTCAGAAAAGGGATGGACAACCAGCCCTGGTGGTGCAGTTGGTAAGGTTTTGATGTGAGCCCAGCCACGGACGTTTCTGCAAGGCTGGGCTCGATGTGCTGAGAGAAGTCCTGGTGGCTTGGTGTGCGTAAAATTTGGCGAGCTTGAGGCTCAGAACCTGCCCGGACCGATGAGCAGGCTGCTCGGTGCCAACCTCGGTCTGCTGGCCAGCCCTGTGCGTGGTGTCCCCGTGTCTGTCTGTCTGTCTGTCGGCTCCTGCGGGTCCCCTGTGGGTCTCGGCTGTCCTCGGGTCCAGGGGGAGCCGCTCTGCAGCGCGCATTTCACAGACACGGCCGTGAAGCAGGGAGGGAGCTGGCGGCCTGAGCCCAGCTCATGTTTCACTGATTGCCTGACTTTTTCCAGCAGCACACCGGGTCACAGGAAAGCGTCTTCTGGGAGGTCAGCGAGCGAGCCTGGGTTTGTTTTGTGGGCGCTAGCTAATGGGCTGTGCTAATGCCAGCCCTGGTCCTCGGCTAGCTGCTTATTAACACCTCCCTCTCCCTCTCCCCTGCTAATGGGGACAGCTCGGGACCGTTAGGAGAGCATCCTGTCCCTCCCCCACACCCTTCTCTTTTTTTTTTCCAAGCAGCCTCTGGTTTTGTCTCATTACAGTCAGAGCCCTGTGGTAGCTGCCCAGCCGCTGTCTGGGCTGAGGGCTGGTGATTTAGAGCTGAGCCAGCACGGAAAACGGCTTCTGCACGCCCAGGGCGAGCCCGCTGGGAGCCACCGCGGAGAGGCAGCGTGCCACCTCGCGTTGGAGGAGCTGTCAGTTCTCTGCTTTAGCCAGGGGGAAAAAAAAAGCAGCCCACACTGGTTTGGTTTTAGTTGGACTTTTTGAAACATCCTGTCGTTGTCTGAAAGAAGAGATTTGGTGTTAGGAGGAGCCGGGCAGCACTGGATCAGAAACCTGTGTGAGAGCGGTGCAGCTAATGAGCCTCGCTGCCAACGCATCCGAAAGCGCGCAGCGGCCGAGGGCTCTGGGCAAGGCTCGCTGCAAATGAGAACACAAAGTGGGGGAGCTGTGATCAGCAGAGCCGCCCTGCCTGGCTCAAAAAGCACAGTGCTGCAGTGTGCAGCTTGGCAGTGACTTGGGATCCAGAGCTGGGGCTTTTGGGGTCCTGCCCCAGCCCGTGTTGCGCTCCTGCAGCGGTTTGGTTTGCATCTGGGTCGGCTCAGCCTGGGTGCAGGGCATGCTGGAGCCAGGAGCAGCGACGTGCACGGAGATCTGGACCCTGCAGTGCTGTGGGACTGCACACGAGGGAGCTGAGCCTAGGGGCAGGGCTGGGGCCGGCCCCATTCCCTGCTTTTCCCAGCAGAATTGGGGTGGAAAACAGCTCAGGAAGCACCGCAGCACGGCTGCTGAGGCCGTCCTCTCTTGTGTGAGCTGGAAAAAAGCCGTCACCTTGCTGTTGTGAGTTCAGAGATGGGTCAATGGAACAAGAATATATTCTTAGATTGGTACAAAGAGCTAAAAATAATAATAATAAAAAAAAGGCAATGTGTTTGAACTAGCGAGCCAGACAAAGGCTGTGCTCCTGCTGGCCGTGGTGCCGAGGGGCATCGAGAGCAGTGGCAGGAGCTGTGCTGGGAGCACGCGGCTCGCTGGGCAGGGGAACCTCACACAGCCACCGAGGGAACAGCCGAGCACTCGAGGACACAAATAATCAGTGGGTTTGTAGCACGGGCGGTGCTCAAAGAAAGGCAAAATCCAGGCTTTTCTCAGGTTTACATACCTGCTGCCTTCAGGGAGGAGGGGAACGCCTGATGGTAGGGGCTAACAGTGATTGTCTCCTGCAGGCAGCGTGTCCCACACGCCTGTGGCAGAGCAGTTCCCAAATAACCCACTGCTGCTCAGCGCTGGCAGCAGGGCACACGCTGCTTGCTCCGTGGCTTGGGTGAGCAGTGCCCGTTCCCTAGCGAGGGAACAAATCCCTGCTTTGGCAGCCTGCTGGAAACCTGGGAGCCCTGCTGCTGCTCGCTCTAACCTCACGCTCTGACTCTGCTGTGCCTTTTAAGCCGGTTCTATTAATAAGCAGCTGGCTGGCTGCATGCGCTGTGCTGCGAGCATCCCTCCTGGTATGGGCAGAGGTGCTGGCAGGCGATGACAGATGTCCTTGGTGCCTGCAGCCGGTGTCCAGCGGCGAGCAGGCTGCCAGCGTTAGTATTCCAGGCACAAACGTGCCCCCTGTAATATGCAAAGCTCAGCGCAGCCTGTGCAGGAATGCCCTTGAAAGGCAAATTAAAGCCAACTCCCCGGTGGCTTCGGGGGAGTAGGAGGGCTGCTGTCATCTGGGCTGAGGTTAGCGCAGGCTTTGAGGTGTCTGCTTTTGTTTCTCTCCTGCTTTCCCTTCCCGACGGGGCAGGCAGGGAGACCTGACCTGCACGCTCCCCGTGCAGGTGGAGCTGCTCTAAGGGGGGGTTTGGTCTGTGTGCAGGGGCTGGTTTGATTCCCATAAAAACCTTTGTGCTCTTCTGCCTTCGGTGGGGAGCCTTTGGCTTGGTTTTTGCACGTGGTGTCCTTGTTGACGCAGGCTTTAGGATAGGCGTTGTCCATCACGTGTGAGTTAGCTCTATTTTGGTGGTGTTAATGGGTTAAGCTGGGGGGATTCTCAGTGTGTTTCCAGAGGAACTTCACTCAGCACAACCCGCCTGCGAGGTGAGGAGCATCTGATGTGCTCGGGTGCCCGACTCGCTGCCCCTCTCCGCACGGCCAGCACTTCTCCATGCAAAGCTTTTCAGAAGCTGTGCTTGCCAGCAAGATTTGAGCATTAATTAATTAATATCGAGGCGCTCTCCCCGTCGCAGAATGCTGCCGTGGCACTGCTCCGGCTGCAGCAGAGAGGTAGCCCGGAGCGCGGCTGCCTGATCAAAGGAAGCCTCTCGCCCACGCAGCTGAGCAGAGCAAAGCCCCAAAGCCCTGCTGGTGATGGCTCGTTCAGAGGCACCTCCAGCGGGGCCGTGCTGGGGCTGGCTCCTCGGCCACCGCCGCCGTGGGAGCCAGCACGTGCTGGGAGCTCGACTGGTTGTGGGCTCCTCAGGATGGGAGCTCCCCCTTTCTGGAGTGCTCAGCCTGTTTTTTATGGTGCCGCACGTGTACGTCAGAATCGAGATGTCTCCTGATTTCCCCAAAACGAGTTCCCCTTGCGCCTCATTTCAGAAGTTTCTCCAAAGAAAAGCCGGGCTTGCTACTAGCCCTGGTTCCTCCTTCTTGTCCTCTCTCCCCAGTGCAATCAGATCTGTCTTGACATTACGTGAGCTCTGCAATACTTCCGTGCACGTGCTGTGCTGTCTTTGCTAGATAAGCATTAGCTGTTCCCTTTTACGGGAAGCACATGTCCTTTCGAGGAGGCACATGTGATTTTTTTTATTTTTTTTTTTCCCTGGGAGGGAAGGTTTGATGCTTTGCAGTTGTCACACCTTGACTTTGTTTCGCTTTTCTTTCTCATTGACCACAGAAGTGCTCAGAGGCTGCTGACGTCTTCACAGAGGGGTGAAGGCCCCACGCTCTTGTTCCTAGGTTGCTGGGGCAGGATTCCTGCTCTGGGTTCTCTGTGTGTCAGTTAGTGCGGGCTGAGCAGAGCTGGTAGGGAAGTGAAATGAAACCCAGGCTTTGGTCACGCTTGGAAATTTAATTTGTCTCAATTTTGTTTCCTGTTTTTGCAGGAATTGCTCAGACAGCTAGCAAGCAAGAGGAATGGAAGAGAACACCGGTGAGTACTTCGGTGCCTTACCATCAGTTGTTGACCTGTTCTTTCTTCGTCTGCTCAGTACTGTAATGAACCTCGTTATTTTAAACTTCGTGCCTTTAATTCAAATGTAGATGAGTAGAAAATGAGATCGTTTGGCAGATGCATCAGTTGCAGCTCTACTGCAGTAATGGTGCGGATCAGAACCGACCAAAGCTGCGTACTGTACATCTGGAAGATCTTTTTTGAAATCTCCCATCTGTGAAAGCTGGAATACAAGTTTCTTGAATATCCCAAGCTCTTGAAAACAAACAGCATCCCCTTTCTGAATAGGCAGGGGGCTAGGAGTTCTGAGCTGGGATGTGATTTGAGCGAGGCACGTGGCAAGCCAGAAGGAAGGATCAGCTCATGGTAGTTCCTGATTTCTTTCTGATTTTATTTCCCTAGGCTGCTCTGTCTTGCAGAAGATGTGAGATTTTTTTAATTAAAATTTGGCTTTAAAGCTCTCGCTTTAGGCACTGCCTACTATTCGACCTGAGGCAAGCAAACTCCTTGCTGTGAGGTTTAACCGATGCAAGCATTCGGTTGCAACTAAAACTGGTGGAGTTCTGGCTTCAGCGACTTTTCCAACTGTTTGGCTAACATGGTGGTGGAAGGCACTGGTTATCTAGCCATTTTTTCCTCTGCCATTGAAGTGGGATTTGCATGAAAGCTCTTGCCTGCCCCGCGGGAAGCCGGTCTCCATGGAGCATGTTAACCTGGCATCTTGTGGACCACGTTGGGGCAGTGGGTGAAACCTCCCCGACTTGTGAGGAAGTGCAGCTGCGTGACCACAGCTGCTATTTCTAGATTACTCCTCTGCAGTCAGGTGATGCCATCCTCGAAACGTGAGAATCGATGTACTCGTCAGCAGCGTGGTGTGCTCGGCCTGGCAGATCTACCAGCCTGTCCGCTGGAGGCTGGGTTTGGACTCGCACAACAGCTCCGAGCCAAGTGCATGTGCATAAAAACACGTCAGGCTTATAATCCTGGTGGCAGGAATTGCTGCTGCGGCCTCTAATTGTTAGCCTGGAAGGTGCACATTCAATTTGTGGTGATTGCTTTCCCGTACGGTTTGCTTGTGGCAAACTAAGCCCAGCTGCTGCCTTTCTGGGGGAGGTGGGTGAAGGGAACGCGGTGCTGGCAGCCGAAGCAGTGGCTGCGGAGATGACAGCTCCCTGCTCAACCCCAGGATGTGGGCTTGGAGCCTCTCGAGGTTCCTGGGAGCTCTGGCTCCTGATTTGAGCAGCGCTGGTGGCCCGGGATGGGAAAGGCTTCATGTCCTGGTCACATTGTGCCAGCTGAAGAAGAGCTGCCTCCCCTCTCCCTCTGAATTCAGCTGTGAGGGTTGAGGATGGAGCATCTGTGCTGGTCTTTGCATGCACAGACACCTCGCGCAGCTGGCTGTGGAGCTTGGTGGTGGTAGTGCTGGGAGCTCAGAGCCCCGCGTTAAAGGCAATATAAACAGATGGGTCTCTTATTACTATTTTTTTTAAATTACTTTGCTTTTAAGGATGCTCATTCTCCAGGTGCTGCTAAACTCAGGACTCCTGGCTTGTTCCGGGCACTGAGGCTGGAGATGAGGTAAGGCGGAGCTGCGTGCAGGAGCTGCGCTCAAGTCCGTGCCCTTTGTTCCTTCCAAGCCTGGTGCTTTTTGATGTATGGCTGTCCTTCCCTGGTTGTATATTAACTGCACTCACAATGCTGCATGGCTGGCTTTTGTTTTAACTGCATTGGCGCGTGTTCAGAGCTGGTGCGCTTCGAATGGCCACTGGGACTGCACAGTGGAGCATAAATCCTTTTTAGCTGTCAGGCTTCACTAGCCATGGGTGGGTGGGGGAGCTCCTCCTTGGCTGGCTGCCCTGGCTAATTAAAAACGAAATTTGCTGTTGTCTTCAGATTTTAATTCATGCTCATCCCCTGAAGACTAGTAGGAGCATGGTCTCCAGGCAGCTGCAGTAGAAGTTTCAGAGCTTGTTTATACACGGTTATTTTAGAGCAGGTATGCAACTTAAAAATTCACTCTCAACCCAGCCACGGGCTGCTTTTCCAAGCAGAGAGAAGAACGTACAGGAACTTCTTGCAAGCCTTGGGCTGTGGCTCTGAGCCTGTAGTTTAAGCTACCAGGTCAGTGATGTGGATGTGCATGCATTGTGCAGCCAGGGCAGCATCAGGTGGCCGAGTTTGTCTCTGGTGCTGGGCTAAGCAAAATGAAATGACTTCGCTGTCGGCTGTGCCTGTGTGGCCTGGCACCAGCTTAGAGAATGCATAAAGGACATAAAGTTGCAGTAGGTTATCAGCCTGAGCCCTCCAGGTACCGAGCAGTGCCGTGAGCCCGTTGGAGGCAGAGGAAATGTTGGGGTGGTGGCAGCGGGGAGTGGGGGCACAGCAGGGCAGCGTGCTGCCCCCAGCCCTGCGGGCGGTGGGAGGACGGAGGCTGGCGAGAGGAATAAATGAGTCCTGAACAGATGCCGTGTGTCGGCCGTTTCTCCTCTTTCTGAGGTCCCACCTACGCGAGTGATCTGCTGAAGGGAAATAGCCCTGGAACATTGCACCCCGATCAGATCCTTCCTGTCGGAGTGCTGAGGGTGAAGGATCACACTCTATTTTCGGAGCGTGTTGCATTCACTGCCCACGCTGCCCAGACCCCTCCTGGAGACCGCTCTCCTCTTAGGCTGCCGTGAACTAAGCTTCAGCCTTTTTCTTAGTGAAGGGATCATCAGAGCCAGCATCCCATCTGCCTCCAAGTCGGGAGACCTTAGAAAGCAAATTTTGAAGTGGAAACTTTGTGCCTGGTGGGATGAGCCTCACCTTATGCCCGTGGTTCCTCGAAAGCAGAGGTGTTGGAGGGGCCTGCAGCTCCCTCGTGGTGTCTGAGCTGAGCATTCCCCAGTTGCCATCGGGGAGCACAGCGCTGCCTTTTTCCATAAAAAGCTTCTGATCTTGGGACCTTTTGGCTCCTCTAGTTCAGTGCTCCCTTGAAAATCTCTGCTCGTGGCTGCAGACTTTGTGGGTATTGGGATAAACCTCGTGGTAGGTTCCCTAAAGGGTCTGAATCTGTGTGGGACAGCTGTGAGGAGTCCTGGGAAGCAGTGGAGCAGCCTTCTGCACCCATGGGCTCCTGCCCAAAGCTGCTTCTATTACAGAACAACACTTGAGACAGTAAATTTATGGATGCCTTAAGAATCTTCTGCAGTTATTTCTTTATTCGAGGTTGACTTTCATCACCCTATCTCATGCTGTGCTACTTTCTCCCAATTCTTTTCCTACTAAAAATAGGGAATGCTCTTCGAGTCCTTAACCTCTGTGCAAACAAAGAAGTAATTTGTTTTAGCGTCTAAGCTGGCTTCTGGGCTACGTGCCTCATAAGGAAACCAGTGTGACACGAATCTGCTACTTTTGGACACTCAGACTCCAAATATAGCCCGAGGAAAGGAAGGGGCTCGAAATGTGAATATTTCTATTGCACTAGCTTTGCTGCTTGGTCCTGGCAGAAAGCGTGGCTGGCTTCCCAATTCCCATTTTTATCCCTAAAAACGAGAGCGGTGCCATCGGACGCTGAGGTTCAAAGCCCTGATGGAAACGAGTGCGTGACCGTGGCACGTGCGTGGGTAGCAGGCTTTGAGATCGCTTCTGATCCAAAGCACGCCTGCGGAAGCGATGCTTTGTAGCAGGGTACAGCCACTGCTGCCAAATTCTGGCAACCCAGCTGTGTCAGAGGAAGCTGAGATCAAAACCAAGCATCAAGCCATCCCGGGGCTGCATCGCCCGAGCAGGGTCTGTTCTGGCTCTGCTGCCTGTGATGCTCAGAAGTGCCGGATGCTTTGGTCAAGGTGTGCTGCTGGGAGCCTGTCCCAAGGCCGCTTTAAGCACCAGCTTCCAGCAGCCTGCTGCACTGGGATCCGAAATAACCCTTTGCTTTCATACCTGGGACGTGTGGGTCCCCTCCTGCCCTGTCCCCCTGCTGCTGCTTTCCCCTGCCCCCAGGAGCTGGGCATCTCCTCCCGGTGGGAATGAGCAGAAGGCTTCAGCCTGGCAAAGTGTGCTAGGGGATAACAAAACCTGCTCAGGAAAAAAACCTGCTCGGGGAAACCAGTTTTCTGCTTCTGCACCAAAGGTGTCCGCCAAGCGGCGTGCTCCTCGCCGTTCCTTTGTTGATGAAGCCTTTTGTTTTTAGCAGCACAGCCGAGGGAGTGGCTGCTGGGACGGAAAATGTTTTCCTTGTGGGCTCAGTTTGAAGCCAGGGAGAGAGAGCGTGAGCCTGTCCCCACCTGGTGACTCTGGCACGGATCAGCGGCTGGCAGCGGAGGCGAGGACTTTGCCAGCTGCAGGTGGAGCTGCCTGCATGGGACAGACCCTAAACCCACAGCCCCATTTCTGTTGCCCTGTTTCTGTTCTGCAGAAACAGGGCAAGGCTTCAGAGCTCCAGGGCTCTCACTCAGGTCCCTTGGGTGCCTCTCCAGAAGGGAACGGTCCACGTGGGGGCAGGCAGGGCACTCGGAGCCCTTTGCAGCCCATTTAGGGAAAAATTTGTCAAATGTACATTTTTGTCTTGAACTGAAGTGATTTGGTGACGTGGTTCGTCGTTTAAACCAGGCTGCTGGAGGCAGCGTTTGTTTTTTTTCCTGGTTTCGATCTGCAGAGTCGAGCACAGAGCGTGGCAGTGTGAGTGCTTCCCTGCCAGAGCTCTGAGGACTGCCAGAGCAAACCAGTTAATGCCAACTAGCCAGTGGAAACGTCTTTGCAATGTCTGTTTCACAGCAAAAGAGCAGGTTTTCTTCCAGGAGCACGCGTGAGCTGCGATTCCCCCATGAGATCCTACAAATTACATATACAGCGGCGTAACTGTCTTGTGCAGTACCACAGAAGAGCCAGAGCAGCTGAGATGAAACAAGATTAAACGCTAACTGCAGCGGAAGGAGGCTGTGCTGCAGCACTGCGAGGAAGGCAGAGTCCTGCTGGTCCTCAGCCAGAGGTACTGGAGGGCTGCACTGGTCTTACTGGAGACCACTGGACTTGTAAGCAAGGTGCAGTCCAGCACGCTCTCTAACCCACTGAGAGCATTATCCTAAGTAAGGAGAGCACTTGACACGTTAGGGAAGTCCTTTGGGACGCGATCCTGACAGCCTTTTGTTCTTGAATTTGCAATGGACATTCCTGCTCTCGGTGCAAATCAGGTGCTGAGTGCTGTCAGGGTGCCCGGGGCAATGCGTGTGCTGCTGCTGTTCTGCATCCTGCGTGTGCAAGTGATTCAGATCAGCTATCCCTCTCCTGGTTGGCTTGGCACTTAAAAATTATTATTAATAATAATAATAAATAAATAAAATGCCCAGAAATTCCCCCTCTGAGCAATCAGAGGAGCCCAAACTCTTGCCTCATCTCTCTGCGACTCCAAGCCAAGAGTTTCACAGATTTTTTGCTGACCGTCCAGAGACCTCATAACTCTGGCACCCCATTTCAAGCAGCTTCTAAAGCTGCTGTAGTAAACGGGCACGTGGCTTCTGCAGATAGCTCTGCCTGGAGGAAAGCAGCTCTCATTTTGGTGGTTTTGTGGTTTGGGGTCCAAGCTGCGGATGTGCTGGGAGGGAGATGCTTTGGTTTAAGGGCTGGCTGGAGCGAGGGAGGGGCGAAGGCTGGTGCTGGGGGAGAGCTGCTGGACCCGCTGGAGCGCTCTGCGATGGAGCTGAGCAGTTTTACTCCTGGTATTAAGAGATAAGGCCTTGTAGGGCATGTAATCAATCCTCCGGGTGATTCAGGCCGACTCGCTGTGAAGTAGTGAACGTGGAGGCATTGTGGTTCAGTAAGTAGGGCACCGAGCAGAAGTGTTAGATTGCGAGAGTTTCTAGCTGTCATTTTCAGCCTGGACCTTAAATTCACCTTGCCCTCTGGAACATTGTTTTCCCCGAGGCCTCGGGAGACTTCAGGGGCGGATTTTATTGGGGCTGGGGATAGGAGAAGCCTGCCTGGAACCAGAGGTAAGTGGGCTTAGTTTAAATGAAGTGATTTTTATTATTACTGTTTCTCTTGGGTCGCACAGCAGCAGTGTGTCTGTGCTGAATGGCAAAAACCCCAAACACCAGCTCTCGGTGGTGCTGCTGCCCCTGCGAGGAGCTGTAAAGGGTTTTGGCTGAGCCAGCAGCTTGGCCATGCTGCTCGGGTTGAACACTCGCACGTCACCAGCACTGCCTTATTGCTGCTTTTACCCCGGCTCTTATTTCTGAAAGTGCCTTTTTTTCTCCCAAAATGCTTGAATGCAACAAAAACCCCGCTCACAGCCTGGCGTGTTTTTCCTGCAGGCGTGGGACTGAGCCGGCTGTGGTGGGACCAGTGATGAGCACGGCGTGGTCAGCTTGAGGGGTGCTTAGGGAAATTATTAGGGGATTAAATTAGGGGATAAATTAGGGGATTAGCCTGGTTCTGCCCTGCTTCAAGAAGTGCTGGTTTTAGGGTTTTTGAAGGACTGAACCAGCAGGGTCACGCTGCCTTTGTACTCCTCTGCGCTTTAAAAACAATAGAAAAGGCCCTAATTCCCCTCGAGCCGTGCAAACTGGGCTGGAACTGGCAGCAAAGTGCCCTTAGGACCT